TAACAGAGCAACAAGGAAATTCTACCCTATTACCAACTTAATGAGAAAAAGGCTAAGTCCTTTGTGCAATGGCACACAATAGACTAACCTTACAGTACACAAAGGAGTCAAACCTGACCTAGAAAAATCAAGCCTCTTACAAAAGGAAAATCCAACAAGAGTGTAACCCAGTACAATGTGAATGCATCTTCTTGTGGTTGTTCAGAGTTGTAGGGTACCATTAGACTGAAGACTAGACCACTTTCAAAATCCCTTCTTGGTCTAGTGTTTCACTTCAGATAGCAGGAGTGTTCAGTTTCATTGATGTCAATGCCCTGGGACCCCCTGCCCTTTTCCAAACCACTGGCCTGTCACAATGAGACAAGAAATTTATTCTTCTAGGTACCTCAAAGCTTTTGTTGTTAATGGTTCCCACACTTTCCAGTGAATCTTGGTACCTTGCCCGGTATCGCTCCAGCAGATGTGTTCTCAGCATCACCCAGGGTGGGACATGTTATTTAATAAACCACCAGTCCAACCATTCATAGACATCATTATGCTTTCTCAAACAGATTCTACAACATATTATAATTTCCATTCATACATTGGTAATATACGCATTACCTAATAGCAACATTTCTGAGTGGAGGCTTTAAATTTTAATTGTTAATATATCATAGCAAAAGGGCACACCAGGCTACATAGGTAAAAACATTACATCATGCTAGCAAATGGATACAAATAATCGGTTTCTTCATGCAAATGGCTGTTCCACCCTTGACACATTTATAACCACTGAGGGAATATTCAAATGACTCTACTTCAACTCAAACCCATCCTTGCAATTATCCAAATAGCAATTCTATGACCCAAACTGTTACTTACATAATATCATATCCTCATTTTTATTTTCTCTCCAGAAACAAAATTAGATTTTGATCACAGGTCATGACATTGGTGTAGAATTGCTGGGCAGTATTTGGGCCGCCCCTGTAAATGTAAACTGGAATGTGTTTATTCTCCACAAATAGCGCGCTGGATAGCATTGACCCAGATAGTGGTGTTACAAATTAACTAACGGTGCAACACACTGTGATACACACTGAGGTGCAAATGCTGTCCCCACATTTCCATAAGACTACGGGATAACCCGTCCCGCGAGGACCGTTAGTTCTCCGGTAGGGTACTGTGTGCTTTATGCCGGTGATTTGGGAATACAATTCGGGGCACGACATACATAAATATGCGCATATGCACGAGCTCATGGGGCGCAGATTAGCAAATGGAGGATGAACACAAAACCTGAGGTCCGGCGGGGTCACCGCCCTGCCCGTAACCTCTCACAATTTCACACACCAAAGTGGGAAGTTCAACAGCGGCTTGATGGACCGTTATTTTACCTCAAGGTTCAGTCGGGGCATGACCGTGGGATTACGGGTTAGTTGAAGGCCTGAAGCGGGCCGTAAATATGGCCGTCACCGCGCAAAGTCAAGCGCGCGGCCTCAAGGTTGCTGGCCGGGCCGGGCGGTTCGGCAGAGGAGAGCGGCGCGGCACGGCGGCAGGCCCGGGAAACCACCGCCGCCCCACCGCCCGTCGGGCTACGGTAACGGTCGCGATACAAACGTACACACTTGTACAGTATCTCATACAACAGCTACTCACCAAGTTGGAGCGACCTTGCTGCTTCCACGACCACTGGCGGCCACAAATAGAGACCTGCATGCGCTGGGCGAGCGGGAGAGGAGCGCTGGCTGCCGCGATGTGTTGATGAGCGGTCAGGGGGATGGCGCTGAGGCTACTGAGGGGTATTCGGGCACTATCGTGAATAGCAATTATCTCCGCTTGATACCGGAGGGTATTGAGTGGGTCATTATGAGAACAATATTGCTGTCAAAGTTGGCATGTACCTTTATGAGTATGGTACTACCGATGGCGCAAAAATACAATTTATCAGAGGATAACGAGCATTAATGATTTCACAACGGCGTTCTTAAAACTCCTTCACTAGTCCTTTCATCGTGGCTCTGATGTTGGACCAGTGCACTTCTATGTGGGGGGAGGACGATAGAAAAATAGATATCTAAAGCGCCCTGTTAGAAAGGATGGAGAAAGTGAAATGTATGTTCATTTTTAGCCTATTTTTTCCGTCAAATTTCACTACAATACTTAGTCTGGTATAATTGGCCCCTCTCTTCCCAGGTGAGCATGGCGAGTATAGAATAACGGTTAACCATTGAAAGAATTTCGTCCGGGGTGAATCCGACCTACTCAAGTTTAAGGTTGCCTTCGGATCACCGAAATTATGAGAGTCCTTCAAACATGCAATAGTTGCAATGGATAGCGATGATAATGTATCTCTAGATTCAAAGTGATATGATATTTCATAACATCGAAGGTTGGAAAACAAAAGGCCTGGGCGGAGTGGATGAAGCTCCGCTTATCCCATCCCCTGAAGTACACTTATCGCTTGATGACAGCTGTGACCAAGCCTGTGTCCCCCGGGAGCCGATTTTGCAGTCACTAAACTTGGCATCCGAGATTTTCTCCCTTTAATAGACAGACAACTGTATCGCTTCTCACGTCGTCCCTTTTGGACATTGTTACAGACATTAATATTGCCTTATTACAAACATTTCGATTATGATTTAATAACTACGCAGGTATTCACTTGTTTCCTTTCTTTTCTTTCTTCATTGTTTGCCATATCAAAATCATATGATCAAGGATAATTCTCACAAGAGGTTCGTGATTTGATGAATTTACCGTCCAATATAATGCTCGTCACAAATATAACATTCATTACCTTGGTGAAAGTTTCAAGTGAGTGCAGGCGGCTAGCTAGACAAACTGACAGACCGACTAGCCTCCTTCGCAGTCTTGTTGGGCGTCGGCGTTTAAATTTTTTCTGTGCTCCAACGCGAATCCTTCTCTCCGCGGCAAAAACTCCCTCGCAGAAAAAATAACGCCGACGCCCAACAAGACTGCGAAGGAGGCTACAGACCGGCTGCGTCTCCCTTTATCGGATGACTGAATCGCGCTCCTACCAGCGGATCTTGCTTATCACCCACCTTAGCTTGTGAGGATCCGCAGCGCTCTGGAAGTGAGAGATCGTTTCTCTGTCTCCACAAGACTACTTTCGTTGCTGAAAATGCTATAAAATTGGCCAAATGGAGTAAATTATTAGGAGAGTTGGCAACCTCGTTTTTTCCGCAACCAAAGGAGGCAAGTGGAAACAATTTCACAGGCGCAACAGTGAGGTTGAAAAACATAACCTCCTTGCTTGGTAACAGTATGCCCTTCCCTTATATTCCGATAGATGACGTTGCGGTAGTTAACTGGTAATTCCTATCACTCTACTTCTGGTTATGCTTACCTTCACGACTGTATCGGTTCTTCCACACTAAAAGTCTTATAGCATAGTTACAGGAAACGCTAAGAAAAGTCAGCTATGCAGTATGCCCAATTCCTGTTCCGAAACAATGACACAATCAAACATTCGCCAGTTCTTTATAACCGTGAGTAAGTGATGAGAAGCTAAAGATCACGGTAGGTAACCACTAGTTGCAAAACATCGACAAGCTAGCAGACAGGACGTTCGTCTCTTCCAATTCAAATCAGTGTGGTTGTGGTGGCATTTCTTTACAGAAACGTTACGATTTTGTACCTCATCTTCTTTAGACACCTACTTAGTACTTGACGTTTACATGCAAAAAACATAAAACCTGCCATGCCGAAAAGTATGTTTTCCAGGTGGATATGAAGTAGTCATTCAGTTGGCTACCTCTAACGGGATTGCGCATCAGGAAGAAAGAAATCATATCCATAAACCTGACACGTACGTAACTTTCCCAAATGTTGAGATAGATAGGAACTGATCCACCAAAGTATAATGTATGTCCGTTTCAGATTTCCATAATGAGCAAACAAAACCGAATTCGCGCTCTGCTCATTGGTTTTTCTGAATGGAACAAACCAGTGTACAAAGCGCCTTTCCCAAAAAGACCTTCTCACCGTGTTGTAACTAGTCTAACTAGTCACTTTATTATAAACTTGAGCTGAACAGGTGTAATAAATAGTGTATATCTTTTTGATATGCCGCCTTTTACACGTGCCGTGTGTTGATTGGTCTTTCAGTGGTACCAATGGATGATGATGTACAGTGTAATCAAGATAGAAGTGTGCGACAAACACGTGGCAAATGGAACATGGGGCAGTCATCAAAGGGTTGGCAACAACATCGCCCCAAGAAACGTGGCTGTTTTGTGTATACGGGCAGGATAAGAACCCCGGGAAAATGGAATCAGGTAAATATTGGACAAAGCCACAAATATTGACTTAACTCCAAGCTTTATCATGGATGCTCGATACTATTGGCCGAAACAAAGGCACATGTAGTGCAATACAGGATTTTAGGGGACACTAGACTTAACACGAAAATAATTCTAATTTTTTAGACTAGTTACTAGTACATGTACCCGAAAAAAGAAACCTAGGTAGCTAATGTTTTTGCCGTGGATTACGATTGTGTTTCTTTCTATAAATTGCTTTAGTAAGAAACAGCCACTGGATATTAGACAAAGTCAATGACTAAAATAGGCTGCAATGCTCTACACAAAATCAGATCGGGCTTCACTTTTCACCTTTAGTACTACTGCCAGTAACAAGGGGCACGGCTTTGAACACTAACAGCTAAGCCAGCATTTCAACCTGCTGATCAGTTATAGCCCGAGTGTCTAATCTCCAAGCAGATCCCTTTTGGTGGCAAGACAGTATCCATTAGCCAGAGGAGTTTGTACGGCCACCTATGGTGGCTAAAGGACACTCCTCTGGCCATGGACAATGCCTTGCCACCATACATGTATGATCTGCTTGAAGATTATGAGTGTCAGCCTTCGTCCGCTCCCCACGATCTGCTGCCTGCAGCAGAATTGTCGGCAGCGGACGAAAGCTAAAAAGGCTGACACTCAGGCTAGATCACTTAAGCTTGTAGCACACAAACATTGAGTTCTGCACACAGGTGGTCTGTACATGGACATGGTCCAGTTTAATGTCAATAAGATCTCAAGATAGTTTAACATGTAGTAATACAGCATACAGAAAGGTGGTGCTCCATGTTTCTGGCTGTTGTCATTTGCTACTGTCTCCATTCTCCTACTCTCCTCTACAAAATCAACACTTTCTACAATCATACAAAATGAAGAGACCCACCTATTCTGGTACTATCAAACATAAGCAATCTTATGCCCCAGCAGTTTTATAATAGTACATCACTAAGGCAAACAGCTGTAGTAATACCGGTATAGGTATTTGTTGCATAACAATGCATGGAAGCAAATATTAAAACTTTATATGCCCCTGCTTTCTACAATCGAACCCCTGATATACTGTGGCAAAAAGTAAGTTATTTTTATCATACATACTTTCACTAGGCAAGTTTACAGCTAGTTCACCAGAAACAACAAATGTTAAATACAAAAATTTTAAGATTGATAATATAATTTAAATACAGGACCTAGCTTTGTCTTGGTGCTTCATTTCTACAGTAGGTACATAAGCCTACGGCTGACTAGTTGTAATCAGTACAGTATATAGTAACTGTGTGACTTTAGTAATGGCATAACAGATAGGGTCACACAATGAGACATCCAGTACAATATAGTGTGCATAGATCTTCAGACATAACAGTAGCAATATACATATTCCAGCCACCAAGTGCAGATGCGGTGTTGGTACAAGCTGTCGGCACTCTAAACAGAAGGTGGGGCATTCCGAGTCCCTACTAACTTCTTAACCTAATGGTGGAGTGATGCCTTCAATTCTGTACTCTGGTAAGGCTCGTTTAGCACCTATAGGTAGTACAATACTGCAATACTGACTGGAAAGCTATCCACTAGCAATACCTTACATGGTAGCCCATACAAACTTTGCTTCTTGATAGCATTCATGTAGATGAAACAGTGAGTCGTCATTCTCTAGCAGGCAGCTACACCAGCCAAAATATACCCTTACCAACATTAACACTCTGCTTAAAAATGGCAAGTTTAGTCATGTGGGATGTGCACTGCTCTCTCTTACACATTCAAGTAGGAACTGATTTAAGAATAAAGGTCAGTAATTTTGTAAACAGCTTTGGAGTTTTGAACAGTTTTGTCTCCATGGCAAAAATCTAGATCTGTCCACAGTGAGCATTGCACATTCTGAAGGAAAACGCTAACATCAAACAAACAAAATAACATCTGTCACAATTCTGCATTTCTCTCTTTATAATAATTGGCACCTGACAAGGCATGACGAATCTCCACTATATAGCCACTCAAGTCGATGAGGTCTTTGGGGGCAAATCTGCTTTTTAAAACATTCAGATGTAAACAATTTCATGTAGATTCTAAAATGAAGTGAGAGGGATGTCCTAGAAGTGGTGATGTGTCTTGGATATGACTCTGTGCAATACTGGAGCCATGGGTGGAGAGTGGGAGGCTGTGGACATCTGGAGTGACAGTAGGATGGAGTCCTAGTGCTGGGGGGATTCGGGTTAAAGACATTGGATGGATAGGCAGGTAAAGTCTCTGCCTTCCAGGAATGGGGCAGAATCTTCAAGGATGTAGAAATTCCCTCCACCCACCGGCAAGTACATCCACATGCAAGATTAGCTGTTAAGTGAGAGAAGGGGACAGAATTAGAAACAACATGCACCAAACAAACACCCCTACTACATCATGGTAGCTCCCTGTTGAAGGCAGGGACCCATAGCACTACAGGTAAGGTCCAAGGCACTCAGGGGTAAGTACCAGGCCATGCACACATCCAGGCCTCCTGCATATCCTGGCAGAAACTGTTGTGGAAACACCTAGGGGAGCAGCAGGTTGGTAACAGACAGGTGAACATGCACAATACAGTAGGGACAAACACAGGTAAAGCAGGGGACAATATATTCTGTGCAATCCTGTGGAACTGGAGAGAGGGGGGCTCACACATTACATGAACATGTTTTGTAGCAGTGCAATATACAAGTTGGAAAAAGTGCATTTAACATGACGAAAGAAAATAGTTGGTGACATGCATACTACAAAATTCAGCAAAACTGCACGTGCAACAAACCGAGACAACAAAACAGGTGCAGTGCAAGGTTATCAGCTGGACATGCCTACCAAGGCTCAGAGACGCTTTTTGAAGGATGACAAACTATCTTATGGCCTACCGTTGGAAGGGATCAAACTTGAACCGAAGGAATTTTTAGATGCCTTTCATTCATGTTGGTGGAAAGTTCTGCCTTGCCAAGACATTTTGTTCCGGCTGTCACAACTGACAGCATCCAATTTCCTTGACCTACAAACTGTTTCTCTACCAAACTTGGACTTTCCTGGTTTACGTTCTTTCTATAACATCTAGTCTTTAAAAAAGTACCGGCTACACATTGCCATCTTGCTTTTCTTTTCCTCTACTTGGACAAACATGTAAAAAAGATCTATCTGATGATTGTATAATACAAAATTTTTGTTTGGCCTACTTGTCTTCTCTGCTCTGCCCTTTACATTGTAGGTACCACTGTCGCACATCTCTCTTTACTGTAACTCCTATCACATCTCAAACATTAATTTCCAGCATATAAACTATGTTTATAGAACCTACATACATACATAATTCCTTTATACTCAAAGTATATCCTCTCTTTGACTGTGACTCTTTTGACTATTTGCAGGTTGTTTGCCATTATTTCTGTTTTTCAGAACGGTCCACTTATTGCTTGCTTAATTCATTGCTTATTGAGAGACAGCAAATCAGCTCCAGTTGCAAGGCCTTAAATGCCTGGACTGAGTTGTGATTGGTGAATACTGTAGCAGCCTCTGTGAAGGCATAACAGCTGTATACTGTGATGGATATGTTTGTATTTGACTGCCTGACAAATCTTATTATTGTGACATTACTTATAACTGAAAGTTCAAACAAAACTGGACAGGGAGAGGCTGTGATACAAAACTGTAACTGATTTGGTGTCCTAAACAAAACATGTTTAGGTTCCTCCAAGGGAGGCGTGCTCTAACAGAGGAGTGTTTTGCTACATGTTGGCTGACCAATGGGTGCAGTTAGACAACAGGCCCCTGGCTGACTCATCAACTGGAGGGCACATCAGGAGAAGAACTTGTGCCAAGAGTGTCTATGACTCTCTTTGGTTTCCTTGGAAACTTCCTTGGGGATGGGACTGGGGGGGACGGGTGGGAGGGTAGAACTTTGTCCTGGGGGCTCGAGAAACGGGGAGGGGGTGGGGCTGGGACTGGGGCTGTCCTCCATCTCTGGTGACCTGGAAGAGAGGGGGAGGGGGGCAAGAAGCAACACATTTCAGCACAAACATGTATAGCAACAGCGAGACTGCTGTGTGGATAAAAGATCTGAGTTAGAACTCTTATCAGCACATTTAAGGGTGGACCAGTTCAATGTCTTCGGAAGAGATCTTCAGTGACAGAACGTCTTCAAAGGGCTGATGTCTTTCTGCTGAACAAATTCATAATTTGGACAAGGATTTTCAACACTTTCCCGAGACACTGACTGGTCCATCCCAAACATAGGGACCAATACAGGGCAAAGGTCACTCCAGCTGCATGCCTTTTGCAACATACAAGCCACAAAATCCATGTGAATTTCAACCTAATAATGCAGAAAAATACATGTCATTTATATGACAATAAACATGGCAAAAAATCCAGGAATGGGTAACACAACAAAACATTCCTTATCCCCAAGTCTGCTTGTGTAGCACCATTGGGAAGGATTTCAGCAGTCTCATACATGTACATGTATACATGTACATGTATGTACCATAAGGGCTGTTTTAAATGAAGAATAATAACAGTGTGGGAAGATCTCAGGATAAATCCAGACGTATTTCTATTTTGATATCAAGGTAGTTTAATGCATCAGAATCCACTTGTCTATATGGTCTTGGTCATTCATTCCAAGCTTTTATTTCTCACCTAAAACAGCCCCTACATAGACACACTGGTTCCTGGAAATAAAAGTTTTTTTTTTTACATATCAAGCATTGTTACAATCACTTTTCCTCCACACGGGTGTCAGATGGAAAGTCAAGCCAAGAGAAAACTGAAAGACAGGCATTAGACAAGAGGCAAATCAAGAGTGCTTGAAAAGAGAAAGACAGCTTACCAAAAGAGAAAGGAGGAGGTAGCCTTGGCTAGGGGTTTGGGGGAGGCTTGTGGATGCGGAATGTGACCTTCTGTGGCATACATGTGGTGTCCCCGGGAACCGAGCGAGATCGCTCCACTCGCACGGGGATTGCCCTGGGGGTGACGCGGGTCGTGCTGCCACCGTTCGGGTGGACCTGCACCACTCGGACTCGCTGCCCCTCACCGCGGGGCCCGGGCCCGGCGCTGGGGGAGGGCGATGAGGGGGGAGGTGGTGACGTGAGGAAGATCCGGTGGCGAGAGGGAGAAGAGGGAGAAGGAGATGTTACTACGGAGGTGCCGTGATGATGAGACGGGTCTGGACGTGGAGACAACACAACACGAGCGGGGGGAGAGGCGTGGACGCCGGGCGGGAGACGGATGGACACGGGGGACGGGCGCTGGGAGTTAGGTGGCGGGGAGCAGACCATGATCCTTGGGGGAGGAGGAGTAGAGGACCGCGAGCCTGCTGAAGAGACTGGTGGGGAGAAAACAAATCTTGATCTGACTGGGGATGAAGTACGTGAGGTGCCGGAGGACGGGGGTGGGGAGAAGTAGATGCGAGACTGGGGAGGTTGGGAGGAGGGGGTAGCGGAGGTGGGGGAGATGACGATACGAGCGGTGCCCTGGGCGGTGACAGGGGAAGCTGTCTGTGAGGAATATGGGAGGGGGAGGGGAGAAGATGACTCTGGATTGTGCGAAGCAGGCGGACGTTCAGCAGACGTATAGGAGGGTGGGGGAGAGCCAGGGTAGGAGGGGGGAGGGGAGATGGTGGTTGTTTCAGGGGAAGACGGAGGGGAGGTGACGATGTAATGGTAATGTCTGGGTGATGACCTGCCATCTGTGGAGGGGGGAGGGGTGAAGGGAGGGGTGGTGATGATCACGGTGGACTGAGAGGTTGGAGGTGGCGGCGAGGTCCGTTCGGGTGCAACCGTTACTCGTGATGCAGAACCACCCGGGGACATTTGACTGGCCACCCCCAGGGCAGACTGCAGCGCCGCCTGCGACTGTGCCACAATTCTGTGCCTGACCCTTTCGGTCGTGCCGTAGGCGACCACACGGTGTGTGGTGTTGGGCCTGCCCGTGTTACTACCGGCAGAGGGGGGCTGTGAAGACGGAGGTGGTCTGGAGGGGGGAGGCTGCGTGACGGGAGGGGGTCTGGAGGTTTGAGGGTGTGGAGACGTGAAGATTGTTGGCCTGACTTTAACCATAGGGATGGCTGCAGGCAGCTTGTCTCCTGGCAAGTGTATGGGAGAGCTGGGGTGGGGCAGAGAAACAGAGACGGGCAAGCAGGTGTCAGACAGGCGAGAACAGAGAGAGAGATGGAGACTCAAGAGACAATCAAGGAGACTGTGCCCACTTGTCCGTGTGGGACAAGTACGCTACAGTCGCCTTGATCAGAACAGAAAAAGAATGGAACGGAAAGAAAACAGCAGAAAATACACATAAAAAGAGATTTTACTAAAGAGGCTGATAGTGAAAGGAAGATAAGCTAAAGAAATAAAGGTGAAGGGAACTTGAAAGACATGTACACCTTTGTTTGAACATGAACAATGTATACCTTCCCTTCTCCATCAAACAGATGAAGACAGCCCCTTATAATTAAGTTATGACATTACAAAACCAGGAAATCTTCATACCATGACATACTCTATTATCTATATTTTTCCTTGCTCTCCATGTTCAAACAAAAGCGATGCAGAAGCTGTGCAGGAACTGTCTTTGCTGCAGTGAGTGTTTACCTGGGTTTGCCTGGCTTCTTGGCAGCATTTTGCGTTGCAGCTTTGCCTGTCCTCCTGAAGGATGACGAGCTCCCGACTGACCTCATTGACGCCCTTTGGGAAGACGGCAGATGTAGATTGTTAATTCAAAATGACGGGGTTGAAACACTAAATTCTAAGGCAAACATCCGTCTTGATTGAAAAGTGGGTGCTGGTACACTCTATTGAACATTGAAATCTACATCTAATATGTCACCAAATGTACAGGACCATAGGATCTAACAACAAAGTCTCCACAGGCATAAGTCACGACACTTCTAGTCAACTACATGTACATACAACAGACAGTTCATAACTACTTCAGCTACCTGGTCTGGAAAACACGGACACGGTGCACCTGTAAGACTTAGGGTTAACGTAACTAAAGTGAATGATGATGAAGCACACACAAAAGCAGAGCTCGAGGAAGCCAAATATATCTTGATGATCAGAAGCAAGAGGATCAACTTAGCCAGCACAGGACACTGTGATTGGATATGTATATGGAGGGTTGACAAAATGACATATCTATGGAGTGATGTGCAAATGGAATAATGAAATGTTCTCAGGATACATGTATGAGGGGTTGTGGTGAAGGGCTCGAAACTAAAGTATGGAAAAGACTTATTACTCTGTAGTCACATTTTGTATCTGCCAGCAGAAACAGTTGACCTAATATCATACAAAAGAAGTGAAATTATACACTGTCTTAGTTACTCCACCAAGGGAGGGCTTCCTTTACGGTATGCATGAACATACACTGTATATGACATCCTGCAAATTATTTGCCACTATGCTGCCCTAACAAGTGGTACCGTCGTAAGCTCAATCTTGTCTCACCTTGCTATATCAGTGGAGACTGACTGTGGACTTATCAAACTTTATCACCCGTTAGTTTCGAGCCCTGAGCTACAGAATTACACCTAAGACTTGACGTCTACTACACTACGCTTATTTATGAAGCGTGCTGAATTAAATCATCATCTGGCAGATTTGGGCTGATTACACCGGTGGGCGTCACACCACAACTGTGCACGGCTAAAACAGAGTTACCTGGGCTTACGTGATGTGATACGGCATGCACTGACGATACGGCAGGCTGCAGTCCACAACCCACCATGGGCACCATGATCCAACTTCAGCTTTACTATCAAATCTTTGAAATCATGGCAGCCCATTTCTACCTGAGAGAAATGCTGTGTGGAACAGCAATCTTCCTTTTGTGTGATTCTTGTAGTAGTCTAAATACAACAGATTTTCTTACAACTGTTTATTATTTGTCTTTAATATATGTTTTTAACATGAGGATAACACTGATATGGTTAATTTTGATGGCCATACATGTTGTGTACTGAGTTGTTAGTCTTTAGATACCTGATTAATCCCGATTATATTCTGATAGATAATCCTCCATCTTGCTATCACTATCTGAAAGCACTACAATTTTTACTCCCATTTGCTTGGGTATTTTTAGTTTCACCGATGGCTAATATTGAATGACTGAATGTAACATTCTATAAGTCCTCCTACCGATATATTGAGTTTAACAATTGCCAAAAAATATTGGTCTGAGTATACAACATAATGGTTGAGTCGTGTGAATGACTTTTCCTTGGACTGAAACTTTATGGGAGACATACTGGTGTGCTGGTTATAATGTACAAATAATGTTCCTTGAAGTTAGAGCTCTAAGGGGAAAAATGCCTCAAAGAGAGATCACGAGAGGATAAGACTACTAGTGTATCAGATGCTCATCTCATTTGGATCATTTTCAATCTACTGCAACTATCTCTACACTCTGATTAAAGTCCTAAGAGTAATTAAACTTTGCTGGCCAAATACAAGGACCAAGAGTGAGTATTTGTCAAGATTTGCTTCCATCTTAAGATCTTTAGATGTCTCATAGTTATGATCTCAAACGGCAGTGACTTTTTTCTCAGATGTTATGGACACATTTGAAAATGTCCGCTGTCTTGGTAGTTTTCTGCAGGAAAGAAAGGGTAGGAAAAGGGCAATGTTCCTTCTTCCTTACAATGTACATTTAGAAGGTGTGAAGAAAATGCTCTTTCTTGAGGAAAATCATGTTTCCAGCTTAATAGTCATATTCATGGTAAACTGGCAAATTTCTCTTATTTGCCAAAGTGATCTTTTCTTTTGTTTCTTTCAAGACTGATCACAGAATTATGCATGGTCACTGATCAACCACAGAAAGAGCATTCAATCACCTCTTGACACATTAGGCACATGGATGGCTTTGCAGATGATATGTTATTGACATTTTGAGATGTGAAGTATGCTATACTTGCATGAATAAGTAGATTACATGTTTGTGTACCTGTATGGAGATTTTTTTGGCATTGATTAGGCAGGTATAACACAGCAGACCTACAAACAGCAGCAGGAAATGTTTGAAGCAAGGTTTGAAAACTATGATGTCTATGTGATTCCTCAGACACTTTGCAAAGCGAATCCTACCCCATAAACAATTCCTGCTATCATAAAGATCAGAAAGCAGGATGACGTACCTGATTCCCCCCTCCCTGGGGTCTATAGGGGGTTTGGAGATCTTCTTGCCCAGCCTGTTGACCCACAGTGACTGCTCCTCTTGTGTGCTCGCCAGAACAAGCAAGTCTTTCGCTGCATGGATGTCAAAGTTTACTGCAAGGAGAAACCATTCAATCTGTTATTATCTTTTCAGCCTAAAACCTGACGAATCAGCCTTCTCATCAATTCTACAGCTTCAAGTGTACAACCTGAAATGTTCACAAAATAAATGATACCATACTTCTCAGACTGCAAGACACCTTCTACGATGTCTTAATTCACAAATATGAACTAGGAACTACATAAGGTCCTTATACTCACAGGAACAGGATGGGTTATTGACAAAAGTTTCGGGTGAAATCTAACCTTTACAGGGAGCCACGGTTTCCTCATGCCTGTCAAGATGGTCCTTGTGACATTTGATGTGACATCCTGGAAAAACAGGCAAATTACAGGGTGTAACTAGTACATGTTCTCAGGACTATTTTGCTTATTGTAGTAATGTAAACACTACCATTGATTTAATACAAACTTGTGTTCTTAATTTAAAACATCTATATACAGTACTACATACATGACAATAACTCTTCAGTGAATAAAAGTAAGACCAGGACTACAGATGAATGGTTGTTCTTGCATATCGGTACCGGTAATGACCCAAAAGTATGGATGGAAAAACAAGACCTGTACAAGTCTTGACCTAGACTCGCGTTTTCGCCATGATCACAATGTACAGCAGACATCGAAAATTTGGAGGTATGTGTTTCTACCTTTCAAAACAAGTTAGTGATTGACGAATTTCTACTAACTCTCAAGAAATGTATGTACTTACTTCTACACTCGAGTGCAGGGGGTGGTCTGAACATGTGCCAGAGAGGTTTTGGGCAGACCTCGCAGGTGGTTGGCTTGTGGAAGTGCACCAGGACGAACTCGTGGCCCTTGTGGATGGTGACGCCCGGCCCCCCCTGCAGGGGCAGGATGTCCTGCTGCGTCTCGTCCATCTTCTTGTTCTCCCCCTCGCCGGCATACAGGATCTGGACAGGAGGGAGGCAAGCATTCATACAAATAACCAGTACAAAAAGGTCTAAATTTGGTCTCCTCTTGCAATGGCCAAGTGGGTAGAATGCTGGCCTAGCATTCGGTAGGTCGTGAGTTTGATCCGGGGCTGAGCCATACCAAAAACTTTACTGCATACTGCTTTCTCTGCTTAGCACTCAAAATTTGGGAAGAATATGGGAGTTGAACACACACAGCACTACTAGTGGACTAGCCCCCTGCTGTAGCGATTGCACAATTGTGTGGCCCGAGGGTTACTAAACTGGAGATGGGCTTTAAGTTAACTAACTTAACTTTTCTCACTTTAGATTGATACATGTAAGGGCTTACAGGTAGAAAGAAGGACATGTTAATTACTTGGGAGTAGTTCAAACTAACCTGGAATATTCTGGGGATGTCTTTGGCGTCAGCTCTGATGACATCACCTTGTGTTACAGGTCGTACATGGAACAGTTTACTGTGCAGGAAAAACACAAACTTGTTATTTTACCAAATCCAAACCGCAAAATATTTTCCATTACCATAGAATAGTACAGGCATATCTTGGAATTCACTTCAACTCTGAATCATGGTGAATTTGACTTTACACTTACTTTTTTCTATTTCACTGAAAAATGCAACCTTAGCTTATGTCATCAGCCTTCCACTATTATGCTTGAAGAATTACGAAAGATGATAGGATGAAAACAGGTAAGATAGCATCAAGAGGACTTGGTTCAAGACCAGGATTTCAGTAAGTTATAGGTGTCTCAAAACTGTGGTCTTAAGCCAAATCCAGAACTATTAGGATTATAACAAAATACTGACTCTAGATCCAGGACCAGTGACGGGGCAGCAGACATCTTGTCATTCTCGTCGTTGTAGAAGAGAATCTTCCTGGTGCTGACCACCACGTACTGCTTCTTCCACCCGTATCTCTTGATGTTCTGTTTGTTGGGCACAGCCAGCCAGCCTTCCAGTCTGTTCACCTCTACAACAGGACAGAACAACAGCAACATTCACTATAACTGTCAAACAACCGCTGTCATCCAGGTTAGTCATTACTTTTAGACAATACCCTGTTCCCAATTGGATTTACCTGGTTGATCAAAGGAAGGTGGTATTGATGACCCCTATTTCAGATCAATGTTGACACTGAAAATCAGGTGCTTGCGTTTTTTCTTAATTTATCATGTTCTTTTTATACCTACTGTACATATAACCAGCAAATTCTCAGTTATTTCATTAATCACACTCACAACCCTATATTATGAAAAGCCTATATAAAGAATTTTAACTAAGGCCACACCAATTTAATTTGTTGGTTCTCGGATTCGCCTCTTCGTTTTTTTCTGATTTGCACAAAAAAAATTTGATTCTGGTCCTGAATCAACTGAAAAATGCTCATGTTTTGCCCCCAACAGTTGAGGAAAGTCCTTTTCTTCCTAGTTGTTACAGTTTTCCCATCTATCAATGCAGTGGTTTGATTAAAAGTTCAAAATTCAATGTTTAAATTTTAACCCAGCCTTTTGTGTTGACTTCATGGCTCATTCCATAGCATTTAAGCCTATAATAGGATGCCTAGACCTGTTTTTATTTTTATTTTTTTTCGCCCTGTCGCTTCATATTTTTTCTGAAAAAATCCGAGAACCAACAAATTAAATTGGTGTGGCCTAAAGCACAGTTGTATGAGGAGTGCCAAGACTGTTATCCAAGAAGCTGTCAAAGTGTGCTATAAGAGAAGCACTGCCTGCATGAAAATTCCCCAGTCTACCAGCACCTCCTAGCAGTCATGAAAGGAACTGCATGATGTCAAACTGCATCCACAATGTATGTATCAACATGCTTCGAGTACAAGACTTTAATCTAATGAGCTGTTTTGTAGTCTCTTGATTCTCATTGGTGGAGCCAGATCGCCCATGGACCAATCACCTTCGTCCTCATCTTCTTCATCCTCCTCCTCCTGTGGTTCCGTTTCTTCCGCCGGCCCTTCCTGAATTGGCTCGGGCCGTGGCTTCTTTACCATGACTTTAGCTGAGTATGACTTGTACGAAACATGTTTCTGGTACTGGTAGGATCGAACTGGGGAGAAGCACACAGGGATAGAAGACAGGAAAGTAAAGAGAGCAGAAATGAAAAGTGTCAGGGACTACAGAGTGTAAGGGAGTCAAAGAAAAATGATCTACAACAAATAAACAAAACAAGAGTGTTCAATAAATCTAGAGTGGTATATAGCAAAGGAGAAATGGGAACTACAAGCAAAGTCTGTACTGTTATTTAGCAGAAAAAAAGGAGTACTGTTACAGTTGCAAAAAGGGGGTAGTCAGGATTCAGGATGACTAACATTACTTGTAGCAACTACGTCAGACTAAAGCTTGAAACGAAAGAGGCAGTAAGGTTTGTACAGAACAGAAGATGTGGGCTGAGATCAGCACCAGTAAGCAGGAAGGAGAGGAAAGCAGAATCTTTTCCCACTGAGTTCTAGGTTTTACTTCTGCACCTCTCCGTTGTACACACACACATACATGAAATAGTGACTGAGTAAAGAGACTCTTTTTACACAACCAAGACATTCACAGCTGATGTTTCGGTGACTGTCTGCCACCTTCCTCAGGGCAATTCTGAATGGTCCACATGCACTGCTGCACTGCAGCACAGGTGTCGCTGCTATAGATGCATTCCCAAACGTAAAATATTTACATATGTACACATATACGTGGTTACAGGGATCTGTATCTACAATCTGCAGTCCCAAAAGTACGGGGGTTGGCTACATACACAGAAATGGCTAGAAATAAGAGTCTCCTTACTCAGTAACTTACCAACCTGATGAAACTATTCGCGGATGAAAGAGTGACATTTTTCCTTACCGAATCCTCCCTCTGGATCGTCGGTCTCCCCGCTGTTGACGCTGGCTGTGTCGCTGCTCAGGATGCTCAGCTTGGCGTGCAGCTGCTCAATGTCACTGTCCTTGCTGTCCAGCGTCATCTGCAGCTCGGTTCGACACTGTACCTCCTCTTGGAATTGCTAAAGGAATGATTTACAAAGCCGTAGTTGTTGTTGACAATGGTGAAAAAGAGGCATCGTTCTATCACTGGAAAAATGTATCTAACCATAAAATCATAAAGTCATAAAATGGCAAGACAAGAAGACATCTCACAAATCTTGTTGACTGGTTATGTGCACTGGTGCACCATAAATTGCACCCTGGCTGTCTCTCTCAGCTAAACAAATCAAGTAGACTAGAGTTAACAAGCATGACTAACAAAGTGAAGTTGCGACTTACAGCCTGCAATTCGTTGAGGTCCTTCTGCAGCCTGACAACGACGTTGTCGTACTTCTCCTTCTCCATGCTCAACTCCTGCTGCAGCTTCCGCACCTCCTTCTCCTTCTTCCTCAGCTGGTCGGCAGACACGCGGTTCTTCTTACCCGACACCATGTCCTTGTACTCCTTACTGTTCACGATCTGGGCAAGCTTGTTGATAGCCTGGAGGGATACAGAGTGAGGAGTGAGGATACTGGATTTAACTCTGAGTGCCTGAAAAATAACTATGGATCAAATCCTTGTTTTAAGATTCTGTAAGGCACTGAAGTACAGTCCTTGTACTCCTTACTGTTCACAATCTGGGCAAGCTTGTTGATAGCCTGGAGGGATACAGATATGGGAGTACAAGAGTCAGGGTACTGGATCTAACTGGACTGTCTGAGAAATAACTATGGATCAATTCATTGTTTCGTCATTCTGTAAAACACTTAAACAGCATCTAACCATTGTGTGTGGAAAACTACATTACAATTATATCAATATAAAAAGTTGATGTCAAAAGTAAGTAAGGCTACACAAATATTATGTATGTGGTCAAAATGATAATAATGAAGGTCACACCCCACCATCAAAATTGAGAACTGAGCTACAAACTTTATATGTGGTCACAAGGGGTAGTCAGTCACACCTTCAGTACTAACATATTCAGGATAGGGTCAAGAAGAGAAGGTTCCCACCTGTATCTTGAGTTCCTTCTCCTTGAGCAGCTGTTTCTCGTAGTGAGCCTTCTGTTCGTTCAGCGCCTGGCTCAGCTCGTCCTTGTTGTTCAGGTCCTCCACGGCCTTCTTCAGACGGTTGTTCATGTCGTCACGTTCTGCCTTCATCTGCTCCAGGCTGGCGCTCAGCTGCTTACTCTGGTCCTCCAGCTGGGGGAGAACACAAAGGGAAAATTTAATGATAAATTTCACATTAGATGAATGATGAATACCTAACGATTTTATTCTCTACCAGGGTTAACCCTTAATAATAGTCTATGACTAGCTTGGTAACCCTCACTGTTGTAAGCCAAACTAATAAATGAATAAAAAGAATTTCACATGATACCATTCCATAAATAGCAGGGCACAAGGTCATTCTGAAAACAATGGTAACACCTGTCATGGTCAAAATTTGAAAGACTTATAAACTGCTGAACAAGGCCTTTTTACAAAATTACACTGATTTACACTGAGTAAAAGAACTGTTATAGTGAAACAAGTTTGCTCCTCTTCTATTGACAGGTTATTGCTAGACAACTGATGATAATGTTCTATATAGCGAATCTGGAAATTACACGTAGGTACTACAACAGCAGATGTTGGACTGAAGTGGCATATAGAGTTGTGTTTATTTTATATTCTGTCATATTTAAACAGTGTTTCCCACCCAGTGATGACACTTCTGTATTACACAAACAAAATATATAGTCACGTATAAAGTCACGTACAAACAATGAAATTAAGATACAATAATTAACGATACTGACAATGATAATAAAGAAAAATTGGTAACAGTGCATTTTGATCTAAACAGCACCAGACAGTAAGAGAAGTTGTTTCCTACCTCCTTGACCTGCTGGCTCTTCTCGCCGACCTCAGACTTGTGGCGAGCCTCCTTCTCCTTCAGCTCCAGGACGATCATGGTCTTCTCCTTGTCCAGGTCCGAGAACCGCTCCTCGGCGATGGAGCGCGCCAGCTGCTCCGACTCCGCCTTAGCCACCATGAGCTGTACCTGAGCGGACAGGTTCTCCCTGGGCAGGGCAACAACAGCATTAGTGTGTACTGTATCTGTATTGATCTAGCCAGTATAACTGCCCTTCGGCATAACACACCAGCTTCGCAGGCACGCGGAGTGGCAGCAGCTAGCTACATGTATATCAACCCAAACAACTTATTACAGATTTAATTGTAGGAGTTGTTTGAAGCTTTTTAGTGATGATGCCCCAACTGTGCTTGGGCGCAAGGAGTTCCACTCTACGATGGTTCTTGAAAAATAGGAGTACTGTTAAATGAAAGTTGATTGAGGTTGAGAATGTTTTTCTTTATTTGTCTCATGTTTTTTTGTATCCTCCAAAAGCCCAAATGATGATGACTCAAATGACTATGTCTAGGTATCCTTCATTTTCCACCTGTCTTGAATAATAGTAGCAGTGCTACATTTTTCTGACCCTGTATTTTGGATCTGGCCACTCTAAGTTTAACTGATTGCATACAACCAGAGCAACAAGTCTGAAATTTATTAAAAATACAAATTTCATCATGTCAAAATCATGATAAAGTTTACTGATTCCTACCCTCCCCCACCCCACCCCCAGGAAGTACTGATCAAACTGGACCCACTTCTCATACTGCTCCTTCTTGAGTTCCTCCTGGAGGTCGCTGCACTGCTTGACCTTCTCCTCCACCTCCTCCTTGAGTTCTTTGGTTTGAGTCTTGTAGAGCGTGGAGAAGTACTGCTCCACCTCCAGCTGGTCCTGGAGCTCACGCATGTTGGCCTCGTTACTCTTCAGGTCCCTGGGGAAAAAGTGGGCAATGTCAGACAGTGCTTATGTACACTGTACACTACTGTGCAATATACTACAGGAAGGGTGTTGTCAGATATATCTTTGGCAAGTATATCCACTAGTTTGGCATGGAAGAGAGTACCTATTTTTTAAAATCATACTATTAATACATTCATATGAGAAAGGTAATGTCTTCCTTTAGCTAGATGTCAGCATCCTAATCTCTTCTGACTGCTACTAATGCTAGGTAACGAATGACAAAAGAAAGCTAAAGTTAATTATATCCCTGTGATATCACTCCCCTCCCCAAACATACTTTCTCTTCTCATCCAGGTCCTTGTCGACGCGAGCCTTCTGTGCCCGGAGCACCTCCAGCTCCTGGTTCAGGTGTTTCTCCGTGACCTTGAGGGAGGAGATCTGCTGCTGCAGGTTCTTCACGTCTGTCTGGGACAGGTGCCGCTTCTGAGACTCCTGCTCCTTCTGCAGGGTGATGGTCTTGATCTGGAAGTGTGGGAAAGGTAAGGAGAAATTACAAAATGTACTTGAGAAACTAGTGGTAAGAAATAAGTCTTCTTATGCACAATTTGGGGGTATTTCTTGTGAAACGCATTACGCCGCAGCGAAATGGAAGCTTTTGGAAGATCATTACTATATTCCCATGTATGTAATACATGTTCTGTGTAATTTACATTAAGTATATCTAGGGCAGATCAACATCAAAGTAGGGTTCAACAGACAGTTTGCAGGTCATGTAAAGGTACTTGACAGGTTTCAGTGAATCTGGACAGCAAGTAAGAAGATGTATCAACAAGTAAAAATGCAGTTACTGGTACATCGTATTTCTTTTTATCTTCCACTGTTGTCTTACCTCATCCTCCTTGGACCCCAGCTTGTTCTGTAACTCCTCCAGGTTCTTCCTCATCTGTTCCATGTCAAAGTTCAACATGGAGCGCTCCTTTTCCAGCTCCGACTTGTCCCGTTCTGTCTCATCCAACTTCCGCTGAATCGACTCCAGCTTCATCTTCTCCTCACTCACTCGCCTTTCCAATCCTGCAACAAGACAGTTGGATTTTAAATCCCAGATGTCCTACAACTCCTGAAAATAGTTCCATCAGGTTGGTAAAGTATAGGACACAAGAGTTTTCTTTTACACAACCATATTTTCTCACCTTAAGTGCTGACGTCAGAAGCTGAGGAAGGTGTCTGATAGACAATGAAACGTCAGCACTTTGGAAATTTGGATTGTGTAAAAGAAAACTCTTGCGTCCTAGAACTCTACATCCAACTCACAAGGATTAACCTGAATCTTATACAGGTCAGTTGGTGAGTCTAAAATTTTTACATATTTTTTTTTGTCGTTAACACTGGGAATGGCACAATCCTGTTAGCCTGATGGCATGCAGGTACAAAACGTCAATCTTATCCGGCAGCAACAACATCACAGGAAAAAACAAGTGGGGAACTGTCAATTTTCCATGGACTACATGTAGCATTGGCTGGTAAGGGTTGAGCTGGATCTGTTTTAGAACATTGCAAACATTGTCAGCACAACTGTGCATGAGTTGGATTAGGGGATGCAGGCTGGAACAAAACTGGAAAGAAATGCAGGTTAAGTATATGGGGAGGTTACAGCAAAGGGAGAGGTTCCAGATTAGACACAACTAAATATCAATGAAGGAGCACTCATCTACATGTATGCTGAGAAGGCTGCAATATTTCAATAACAATCTAGAAGCTAACTGGTAAATACTTATAAGTGCAGAAATTTGGAAATGAAATACAGTTATCTTCATTTTACCTACCGTAGCTTGCAATTGAAGCAAGAACTTTAAGCAGCAACTTTAGCCTGAGTTGATGCTTTTTTACTTCACATGCTACATGTCATTACAATTTACACAATGTGGAGACACCATACTTAACCCTGCAGCCTTCTCATCACACACGAGTATAACTACTATATGGAAATGACTGAAATCGGAGGTAAAGCATGGAAGAGCCACAGGAAGTCAGACAAACTTTGCTTCAGCTGTGAGAGCAGAACGGACTGTTCCGAGCCTGCGTCGTCAGACCGGCACACAAGCATGTCAAGCTCAGCTAAGAGTTCAGGAATATGGTCCTGAGAAGCTGGAAGATAGGACAGTGCACCAAGCTCAGCGTGGTGGGTACCATACCATACTGTATCACTTTACAGCTGGCTTCAACAATAGGACAATGCAACATTGCATTATGTATATGCCAGAAAGAAAGATGCCCCTGCAGTTTATGACATGCTCATGCAACTTACCAACTTAAGCTCTGAATTACAACTGATAGCAAGATTCCAATATCTTGGAAAATACTGTTTTGTTCAAGCTACAAATGTACAATCTAAGCCAGACTATGGCACAAAATCATGGCAACTTTAAGCACTGAATTGAGAAGTTTAAAAAGAAATAAGGACTAGCAAAGGGTTAAATACACTTAGTCTACAACTTTGCATACAAGCGACAACCAGAGACATTGTAACGTGAATGTAATGCTGCGTGTTAAACGTCAAGCTGTGGATACTAACCTTCCAGGTCTGAGCCGATGGATGTACATACAATAGTGTCTACCTCTTCTACAGACAGGAGGAATGAGAAGAGATGGGAGGGGCAGGGAACCACAGAGAGAGTGAGACAGAGGCTGCCTGGTGCATGCACACAAGAGTAGTAGATTGGAAATGTACATGAACAATGTAGACTCTAAATCATGCATGAAAGAAGAGTCTAATGAGGATTTAAACAAGTTCAGTTCAGTAGCCCTCATTTCAATGTCTAAGAAAAAGGAGCTTTCAGATTGGCCACTTTTAATATTTTAAATTCTATACTTACTATTTTGTTATAATGAAAGTACACTGTAAACAGGTGTATATGCGAATTATAAGAACGTACATGTGAGGTATCAGAAAGGAAATGTATTTCAAACAATGAGTAGTTTTATAGACACTAAGATAAGCAGTCATACCACTGTTCTTCATCAGTTTCAGTCAAGTCAGGGCTTCAAGTTCTGAGTTGACGATGTAGAGATACAAAATGTGGCAGATATTTGAGTTAGTATCTGTAGCAGGATGTAAGGAAACCACACATGAAGAGAAAAAAGGGTCTGGCAGCATGGTTTACCTCTCATGGCCTCTGTCTTGGACTCCTCCAGGGATAAGATCTTCTTCTTGTCAGCGGAGAAGGAGGCGATGGTGGCCTTGTGGTCCAGCACCTCCTGCTCGTACTTCTGCTGCATCTGCTCAAACTTGGTCTGCAGCTGACGCAGCTTGTAGTTCAGCTCCACCTCCACGTTGTACTTGGCCTACACATGGAGCAAAGGATGGGAGAGACGTGAACTTGATGTCTTGTAGGTAAATATAACAGGCCTGACAGATCATAGCAGCTCAATACCTTTTGGCATTCTGTAAAAACTGTATCCAAGCTTGTTGGCTTTCAATGCAGCAAACTGATCTTTCAGAAAACTTACAATGACTTATCAGAAACAAAATTACATTGGAAAGTCAAGCAAATAGTCATCTGCTAGTATTATGGGAATACATCAAATCAGCCTTTCATATCTTAAAAATGTCTGTTATTGAATTCAACTTCAACCTTGTGTACGAGGCATGCACTACTGCCCTAGCCTGCTAGGTGGCTCTTTTGTAGACCTGGGGGTTCCCTCACCTTTTCCATGGCATTGTAGGACTCCTGGAGCTGGCGCTTCTCCTGCTCTAACCGGGAGATGTTCTGTTGGGAGTTGGACAGCTCCTCCTGCAGCATGTAGTTACGATCTGGGGAAAAAGGAGAAAAATTTAAGTTTGGGCTTCCCCAATGTCCAATGTCCTCCAAGGGAATTTTTGACTTAGAAGGATGAGAACCTTTAGCTCCATTTTACTGTTTTAGATACGACAGAAATCTTGAAGGCCTTTCAAATCAAAAACATGGAATGTTCCCAACAGTACAAATGTATATGCTGACTTATATCATTCTGTGAATCTCATTAATTAAAGCACAAAAGGCCAATCCCCATCCAGAAGTCAGTTAACTCACTCTGCACGTCAGCTGACATCTCGGAGGCCTGTGATTGGCTCTGCCTCTCCTCCTCCAGCTGGGCCTGCAGTTTGAAGACCTCCTTCTCCTTGGTGACCCTGGTGGACTCCAGCTGACGCAGCTTCTCCTGCAGCTCGTGTTTGTCAGCCTCGGCCTTACCTACAGCCTGCAGCAGGGACAGAGGGGAGCTGTCAATCTTCTGTTGTATTGTGTGGGCCGGCTACTCCCTCTATGAAGCCAAGGGCTGAATTGCGAGGAGCTTACAATATACTCGGCTAAATTGCAAGAGTCTGGAGCGGCTGCCATTTGGTGCTAACTCAGGTGACCTCAATATGACCCCAGGTGCGGCCATAGGATTGTTAAGTTTCAACCACTCACACCAGGAACGTCTCCTACTCTTTTTGTAAAGTGTGGTGGGTTTTTTAACGTGCGTGGGGTGTGGCTCTCCCGAAACAAGGGACCTCAACAGTTTCAGGTATTCAAGGCTATGACTGTCCAACACTACGTGATCATGCATTTTGACCTCAATACGTTTTACGTACGTTCAGTGATACATTGTACTTCAGGGACATTTTACAGCTTAAATGTTTGTGGACCTTGAAGTTCTCATCTACCCACCTTGTCAAAGTCCTTCTGCACCTTCTTCAGCTTGTTGTTCAGCTGGGTGGCAACTTCTGCCTCCGTCCTGCTCTTCTCATTCATCTCTTCCAGCTGAGGAGGGAAAAGTAAAGCACATACATGGTTGGGTCTCCTTCATGTTGAGACATTCTGAACAATTCAACTAAGTGCAATGTGTCTATGGGTTGTCTGGCTATTTTGTTATGATATTTTAATGATCATACATTGTACCTGTTTTCCTACATACCACCCCTCTCTCTTGTTTTCTGTTTCCTTAAAGTGTTTCTTGTTATTGCTAAATACATTCTGTCTCTTTTTTCTTTATCACCTTTTCACATCTCACTTCTCCCTAACCTTTAGCTACCTGATCCTTCTTACCAGTTCTTGTATCTTTAGGGAGCTAACTTAGCATTTCTTCATGGGAACAACTCTCCTAGAATTACTAATGTGAGTTTTCCCCTTTCTGACGTGTCTCTCCAGGTAGCTAACCCTATATGGCCTAACCCTAACCCCAACCCCAACCCTAACCCTAACCCTAACTTAGGATTTCTTCATGGGACCAACTCTCCTAGAATTAATGACAAGTTTTCCCCATGCTCACCTGTCTCTCCAGGTAGCTGACCCTCTCTGTGAGGTACTGTGAGGAGGCTGAGGACTGGTTCTGTTTCCTCATCTCCTCGTCTAACCTCAGCTTCAGGTTCTCCACCATTCCCTCCAGCTTACGCCTGTTCTCCATCTCCTGCTCCGCTTTTCTCTGAGACTGAAACCATCAACAGGAACATGTTGGTTTATTGGTCAAACATCACCCATGCAATCACAGCCTTTTATAGTGCTGAATTGATGCAGGGTTTACAATCACATAATACACAGTCATGATACATGTAACATATTTGTTCCATACACAGGCACAAGAACACTTCATTCTGTTGCAAAGCTATCAGAATAAGCACATTCAACAAATTTGGCAACAAGGTAAAGTTTTGAAGGTAAGACAGCACTGAAGAAACTTTTTAGAACTACCTCACTAACCAGATATATCTTACTTACATTATGACTGTGGTTGTGCACCTAAGCTTAAAAGCTTACCAACCTAAGGAAACAGAAGTTCTTTCTAATAATGGAATTTATTAACACATAAAATGAATGATAGACAGAAATGCTCACCTCCTTCAAGTCATGATTTGACAATGCTGTCTTCCTCTCCATCTCCCGAGTTAAAGCTTCAGCCCTCTTCCTACCCTCAGCCTCTTGATCTAATTCTCTATACAATTTCTCTAGTTTTGTTGATGTATTCCTGCACAAACAAGAACAAGGGTTTTAGATCACCAAGAAGTCAACAACACAAGTATTCCTGCACATAACAGTACTGCAAATGCTTACAGTTTTTGCTGTGACCGCTCTGCTGTGAATTAATGACACCGCAACTATGTTTCCAATGTATTACTACCCTACTATAGAATTGTTTCAACTGTTAGCTTCAAACACTTCTACTGTGAAAATGAGCATACATAAAATACATGAATTTCACACAATCAGGATAAGGGAACGATGAGCTGACCTATACTTGTGCTCCATCTCATCCTTGGCAGTCATCTCCATGTTGAGCTGTTCTTCCAGCTCATGTATTCTCTGGACAAGTTCTTCATTCTGACAAGGACAGGCAAGGTGTTAAGAGTTAAGAGTCTGATCAGCAACTGTTTCACTCTAGATCTGGACATTCATTTCTTCTCTGGAAGGGACTTTATCTTGAAACAAAGAACAAGAACAAAATTATAGATATAAGGTACACTTATATTGCATTGATTCTTTGTGAGGGTAAATATCTACCTGTTTAGATGAACTACTGCTAACTTGATTGACCATTCTTCCACCCTGAAATGTGACACATACGGAAAGATATTAACTAAGTAGTTGGCAACAATGGTCAATGAAAGTAATTTCATAACCAAACACCAACAATAAAAGCAAATCTAAGACAGACTAGAAATCAAGAATGTACACAATAACTGTAAGTTGTTACTGTTGTTATTGCTCCAACCACACGCACACATGAATATGTCACACACACATATGAAGACATGAAATACAATATTAGAATGTGAAGGAAAAGAGGTCTGGAACTTACATCAACCTGAACATGACAGCATCACAGGAGCCACAGACAGAAAGAAAAAAAAATTCAGTCAAGAGTAGTGAACGGAAAACTCTACTGCGGACAGATGATTTGTTATATGCACTGGTATAAAAGTAAGTTGCAACACAAACATCCTTGCTGTTCATACTGTATTTGCTAAGCAAACACTCATGTCTTAACTTTGGTAACATAAACCACTCCAGTCATACATGTATGTGCAGTTCTGCACGTTGGCGAGACTATATATAACTATTGAGAAAAAGCTGCTGTAAATGTTCGCAGGACAAATAGCACAAGACACAAGTAATACAATTCAATTTCAAACTTACGGAAAACATGGCTTTTGGCATTGGAAAGACTGGGATGTCAACTGTTATCCTAAACTATAGCAATCATGGTTTCAATCTTACCTCCTCAATTCGATTGTCTGGTCTCAAGCCAACTTGAAACACTCTGTAACAAAGGAAACAGAACATCTTCATACATGTTATGTGTAAAAGAAAAATCAAAACATTTATTTACATCAGAAGTGACGACACATGTACAGTAGGATAGAATGAGGACTCTAATGACAATACATACTACAAGCAAAGACAAAGAATATAGCAACATTGTCTCAGTCATGCAATACAAGAAATTCATGAACAACATCTAAATGTGAACATCTTTGTGATAAGAATCGATGCAGAAAAGGTTGTGAAGTGGCAAATTCAATGCACAAAACCTTGCAACACATCATTCTAAAGACTTAATAACCTGCAGTATACAAGAACAATGTCACAGACAACAAAAACTTTGAAATTCGCAGAATGAAGATTTCTGTGCATCCTGCCAACATGCACAAGAATGTGTCAGAAAGGTGACTTACTGACTTAAGGTATATAGGTAACACCTGCATGGCAAGGTGGAGAGAGGAAGAGCATGGAGAAAGAAAGAGAAGTTACCAGAAGAGTGTAACTACATGGAACTGCCTCTTGCATAGATAAACTACTGTCCTGGTGCACAAATACTCATTTCTGACACTTGAAGTATAAACACACCATTTGAATAGTGCAACAGTGCAAACCACAAAGTTATGAAAAGACAAAATTCTTAAATGAGATTTCTAAAAGTGGTCAAACTATGGTAGACACTGTCAACAAAATAGTACTTGTTTTCTATGTGTCTGGTTTCAAAAATACAACCCATATTACAATTCTCAACATTGTTTCAAATAATTCCATATTCTACATTTGTGGATGTTGCAGAATATCTAATACGTAATATCAAAGTAACGCTTGATTTTTTCCTGTACTTTCTTATTTAGTTATACATCGTAGATCCAAGGTTACAGTAAATTTTCATTTCGCAACAAGACAAAAATGTGTTTGAAGAACTTACGGACTATCCTTAATAAACGTAAAACCGATGAAAGGCAAGTGGTTGCCAGCGAAGATTTTTGGCGTGGGGAAGGTCTCGTCTTCCCCCTTGTCGTCTTCAATATCGTCAAAGTTACTGGTGTCGTCGTCCCCCCTCAACTCTGGGACCACAGGAGGTACAGCTGCAGGAAAGAAACACAGTGTCAGATGAAAATATCCTCATCTACATATTTAGTCTAAACCAATGGAATACAAACATCACCGTCTGGAAGACACTGGGAGAAGATCTGGAAAGGGTGACCTTGACATTGCGGAAAGATGACCTTGGGGAAAAGATGACCTTGACCTTGTTAATGAAGGACAAGTTAAATCTTCATGCAGCTACATACTTCAGACAGTTCAAAGGTTTAAAGTTTACAGCTTATCATGCTAATTTTACAGCATCAACTTTTAGTTCCTTTCTGGACTTGTTGACAAGGCCAGCACCAAACTTCTCGTCACAGTTTTGTTTTGAATACACGGGTGATGCAGTGAAAATGGCATGGAAGTTTTATCCCTGTATAAGCTTTAACCCTACATAACTTTAGCTTCCCTACATGCCATCATTACTGTCTGTTAACTACCTTCTCCATCTACCCCTTCCTTTTTCTCTTCCCCCTCCTCATTTTTCTTTCCTGTCTCTTCTGTCCCTGCTAAAACTTCAGCAAATGGCATGGGCTGTACCACTTTTGTCGGGGAGGGTACAGGGGTGGCATCTGGGTCAAAGAAAGAGTGAAAGAAGACCAGAGACAGAATAAAGTCAAGGAGAGAAATATAGCAAAGAAGTCAGAAACAGAAATGAGAACTTTTAGTTTAGATAAAAAGCAGGGATGCAAGGATCTGCATCTGAGTGAAGTACAAGGAAACTTAGGAAAAACCTTCATCAACAGATAGGTCCCCATGGCTCAGGCTTAGGCTGGAGTTGGACCCTTCATCTTGTGGATAAGAAAGGCAAAGGAACAGTAAGAACAAGACATGCAGCAGCAAGAATCAAAGAAGAAAGTGAAAAATAGCAAAAGAAAAAAGATGGAAAAGAAGCAAATATTCTTGTTCCCGGATGTCAGCACTATGGCAAGATTTAAAAAAAAAACAAAGATGCACATTCTTGTTGTTACGACAGTTTGGAAACTAATGGCATGTATTTTGATGTAATGCAGAGAAAGGCAGAAGCTGGTTCTGACAAAGACCTTCGGAGCCACTGGAAGCAGGGATGTCACCTATGGTATTGCGGCGATCAGGAATGTCAGAACTGGGCTCGGCTACAGCAGTGCAACAGCAGTTAATGTACATGGGAGCTGAATAGATGGTGTTCACCAAGGTCCAGTGATATTACAGTGAAATTAATATATAAACTAAGGATGTGTTAATGTGCGGAGGGACATTATGTCATAATTTAACCAGGCTATCCCCTACATTTGTAGATGGCATTACTTTATTGTTTGACTGTTGTTTGATTTTAACGTCCTTCCGTGGTGATATAAAGAAGCATAGATTGCAGAAAGGAGAAAAGAACAGTAAAAACAAAAAGAAGCACTTGAAGCAACTGTGAACTGGATTTCTAAGTGGCAAAAGCAGGATATGAGGGAAATGACAGTGGATGTCATGAACCTTCTGAGCGCATGTACTCGACAAGTGGGCAGCTGTGAGAGTGTGGCTGGTGTGGTGCAGGAGGTGACAGCAGATCTGACATGGAGGAGACAGGACAGAAGAACGTCAAAAATAAGAACACATGGAATATGGAAAATTGTGTGAAGTGTGTGAAGTGTTATGAGGCTAAGGAAGACATTTGACAGGAGGGGAAAATAAAGAACAATTGTGAGAAGGGAGTGGCAACTAGAGGCTAAGACAAACTATGACATACAGAAATGAGGATTGAAATGTCAAAATGTAAAGACGTGACAGAAGAGGACAGAAAACACGAGCAACCTCTGAAAACTTTCCGGAGCAAGCCCTGCCTCCGTTTGCCAGGGAAGCCTGAGGAGGCATCGGATGCCTGGGTCCCTGTCAACCCAGAGGGGAGAAATGTTGGAACTGAACAAAACACACTGAACTTGCAGAAAAATAACTGGTGATGGAAAGGAAAGACAGCAAAGAAAGGGCAAGATTGCAGAGTTATGTATACACAAAGGATGAATTAACTTTATTCTGGTAACAGTTCATGGGATTTCTAGTATTCAAGGTTTTTCTTTGTGAAATTATGGAAATATGTGCAGATTTATTTCAGACCCTTGGATATTTCCAGATTACAAGGACATCTTTACATGTTACAAAACTCTGACTTGTGTGCAAGCAGAAGGGAGAGAAAATCAGATGCAAATCAAAAGAAAGCCAATCAAAGAGAGGTTATTAACTAGGTGGGAAACCTTCAGAGAAACCACTACTGCTGGCTTTGGAACTTCTGGTGCAGGACCTGTCACCTACCAGGGATTGGGAGATAGGGAGAGTCTCAGGAATATGATATAACATGCAGAATAAAGAGGAGACAGTATAGAAAACATCCAGGCTACATGCATCAGATTATCATTGCTGATTAGCAACTACTGCAATCTTAATATATGTTATTTGTGGCAGACAGTTTACAACAAAATGATATATATTGACTATTTTTTATATATTGACTATTTTTTCAACTAAAGTGATACAGACAATACAAAATAACTGATTACCAAGTAATTAACAGTCTATTGCATTGCACAATCTAGAAATCTGTCTGCTACATGCTAGTGCAAACTTAGAGTTGTACAAATATGACTTTAGAAGGAATTGTACAGCTGTCAAAAACTGTCTCACAAAGTAGAAAGAAACAACACTGAAAGAAATTTAGGACGAACTAAAGACAACTGAAAGTGAGTAATGAAAGACAAGATGGAATGGAATATGTGGTGTGAACCTTCTCCGAAGGCTGGGCATTCCTCCTCAAACACTGAAATGTCTTGGTCACTTTTAAATGGAGGTGAGTTGATCCCCAAATCCACTGTGTGAACAAGTAAACACAACAGGTGGGACCTGGTGCTTACCCAGCATGCATCACTGCATGCACCAAGAGAGGATGAAGTAAAGGATTGTGGTACATTCTTCATGGCATTCCATAGACTGAAAGATTTCTACTTTGAGTGACATTCTCTTAGATTAGGAGATGATTATTAATTAACAGAACTTAATAAATTCAAGGATTCCAGCATGCACACGAAGTGATGTCTGTCCAAAAGTATGAACAAACAAGGGCATGCGACAGAGAAAACAACAGGAGATGGCAATTGTAGCACACACTTATCAGGTTATCTATTCATTCTTCCTGCAGTCACTCACTTCTTATACAATCTGGAACGCGATGAGCTGACAGTGAAACAAAAGTGACAGAAAAAGTAGAGAGACACACAGACAGACAGAAAGAAAGAAAGTGAAACACAGCTGGGAGAACCTTCGTCAGTGTCGTAGTAGCTGTCAGAAGTACTGTGTCTGGGTTCGGCATTGATGGACCAGGAGGACCCTGGGGGGTAGCACACCTCCCCTGTGCAAGTGTACACTGTGTGGTTACCATGACAACACAAGCCAGGTTTGGGGGGGCAGGAACAGGGGGAGGGGGTGGCAGTATAAAGTGCAAGGTGCTGTTAGTATAACTCAGGTGATCGTCACTGCCAAAACAGTAGAAAGATACTTGTGTGAATGAGTTGCAGAGACAACGGTGGTTCCCCTACACTTTTGTTGGTCATTCAAAACATGTCAAACAAGTAACCTGACAGTGGTTCCATTCCATGCAGTAGGGGAAACACTGCCCGCAGAACCAATTGAAAAATAACTTCATTGACAAATAAGCTACAAGTGTGCAGTGTCAACAGCATGCTACCAAAAGTGATTCATTGAAACCTTTAATTTGGAAACCTGAAAAAAATCACAGACTCAGTAGCATTCCGTGAACAGATAAGGATGACTGTGCGCAAAGAATATACATTGTAAAATCAATGTTCACATTGCAATTCAAGAACATTAAAGAATGTTAAATCTTGAAAAGGTAGAAAAGCAAATAGAAATGTGAATGGAAAATGAAAAGAGGTGAAAGAAATTTAAAGAGTAAGGACCTGCATCTGGATCTTCAAAATATCTGGCATCTATGTCGCTCTCAAGCTCAGGGATAAAGGGAGCTTCAACTGAGGTACAGAAAAGTAAAGACAAGAAAACAGGGAAGAGTGAGCAGGATGAGAACATTACAGGGCATTGTTGAGGGAATGAGCATAAGAAAGGTCAAAGAAAGACACTGAACAGATAGAAAAACAGTTTTTTTTTCTGTACAAGTAGAAAGCAGTTGTTATGGTTGTTGCTTGGTTAACTGTTTACAGGTGCAACATAACACACATTTCTAAGGTACTTTCACTGTTAGATTGTTCAAGTAAAAGTTTTTTTAAGTTGAATTTCAGGATGTTTAGGAATTTAAGGACTATGGAAGTGAACCTTCCACTGATCATCTTTCAGTAATGCAATACAGCTGACCCGTAAAACAACTGGAAACAAACTCTCCACACTGTTTGGGTCGTATCATGAACCAGCAACACTGTTATCACCTCTACACTAACCTGAAACCCCCCAATCACCTCTCCTGCAGTCACTGACCCCAATCTACAGACACCTGATACTACAGCATACTGAGAACAGGGCACAACCTGGATCTATCTCCACCTGTTCCTTACCACACCAGTAACTGCCAAGTAACCAGTAGCTGCTTGGTGTGTGTGTACAGTATACAGACAAGCAGAAACAGACTGCACTTCATGATCTGTTGTATGACCTCTGGTGTAGAGACTTTGTTCATTTCAAACTTGTCATAGCTTTGTCCAATTTCTATGATACACAACTTACCCTAGAACCTACTTTACATCAATGTGTGGATGCATGTCTTTTGAACTTTATGGTTCTACACAAAACATCCTGTATCAGAAAAGGTGGTGTCTATCACATCTGTACTTTTTGATTATTGATCTTTAGCTCACAAAAGTGGCATCCTATTTACAACAACTGACATCCAAATCTACAATATTCAGATCTCATAGAGAACAAGAAACTGAAACATTTTCTAAGGAAACCTCAGATTGTGTAATAAAAGTAAAATGTTAAACTTTATTCCAAACCAAGATTACAGAGAGATCAAATTTTCAACGATCACTGTCGCTTTCATCAGGATAATGAATGACCAATCACTTCAAAACGTGATCTCGCAAAACATTTTACTATGATTACCACCAACACAGATGAAGTTTCATGATAATCTCAGATTGTGTAAGTTGCTGACTTACTGTCCCGGATGGTTTCCCAGGTCCACTGGTCGTTCTGGAAGAACGGATGTCGTCTGATCTCCTCCACACCGTTCCTCCCCAGCCGGACAGATCTGGTGGGAAACAGAGGAAAAAACAGTCAAGCTCAACAACGTGGGCTGTTGATGCTTCTAGAGCCATCTTAACAAATGCAGTCAATTTAAAAAACAAACTGAGATTACCAGACAATGATGACTAAGCTCATTGTTGTATTCTGATATGTTCTAGTAACGTGAATAACCCAGTTTAGTATACATGTACATATACCATCTTAGCAAATACAGTCAATCAATTTTAAAAAAAGATATCCTTTTTTTCACTTGATATGAGATAACCAGAGAATGATAACTAAGCCTACTGTTGCATTCTGATTGGTTCTAGTAAACTTCACTGCCCAATTTTAATATACATGTACTGTACATGTATGTACCTGTCAGATAAAAAGGCACAGATGAGGTTCTTAGCTTCTTTGGACATCTCCACGTCATCAGGGAAGCCCAGGGAGTTCTTGTGGTCCATGATCTTGCCATACGTCCCCACCAGGGAGTCTGCATAGAATGGGGTGTCGCCTGGACACGTGGAGGAAGAAACAGACAATGTTCGGTACAAGGCAATGGTGTAGATTGTACAATTTTTAATAGAAGCATTATAGTCTTGTTGATTGTAACTAAGATGATGAGGGATGGAAAAATGACTACATGACAGAGTAGGAGAGTATGCTAAAAAGGAAATATAGCCAATACTGTATACACTTCTGTACTAGTTTTCAGACAAAATGAGTCAGAGGTAAAAGGTTAGAGGACACTTCTTTTCTTGCTGGCTACTTTGATCGTATTTAGTCACTTAGTAGTAGTACTTACCAACTAGCATTTCATATAGGAAGACTCCGACAGACCACCAGTCACACTCCCTGCCGTAGTAGCCGTCCCCACCCTGGGACTTGAGCACCTCCGGGGAGATGTAGTCTGGTGTCCCCACGGCGGTGTCTGACCGTACCATACCGTTCTGTACAGGGGGAACACACGGGGGCTAACTAAGACTGTCTGTGTCATGGCAAACATGCAGATTCAGGTATGTCATATGTATATACATGTACCTGTCCAACTGATTCACCGTGTTTGCAGCAATTATTTCCAACAGTTGAAGCATGCTGTTTGGAGCTATTTAAGACTATCTACAACGACAAAATTTTCATCACACAACTTCCAAAAGGAGAAGAGTTAGAAACACATGTTATGATGTATGTGTACATTGTTTTCACGTCATTTGCCACAATACTAAACAAATGAAAATATGAATTATAATAAAAGGAGTAGAATCTATACAAAACCACAATGAGGACCACTGACATCATCCATCTTCATACAGGTGCCAAAGTCAGCCAGCTTCAGGTGACCCCGGGCATCCAACAGCATGTTATCTGGCTTCACATCCCTGTCAAACAGGTACAACACATCAGTAAGTAAAACTATGGCACCAAAATTATATTCTAGATAAACTTTTAGGCAGTGATACCCTACCCACATACCAAAAATCATGAAATACCATTATACCTTTATCTAGTGATAACATAACCTCCTTGACAGTTTGATAAGTTTAGCATACGTGTAAATCTTTAGATTTGGTACTGTAGCAATGAAGTATGAAAAAAAATGAATGCAGGACATTCAACAAGCAAGTAGCGCTGCATACCTAAACTCAATTTTAGGTTCAGGTCCGGATTCAAGTCCAGAGGTTTAGGTTCAGTTCCGGACTTGTAAGTCCGGACCTAAACCCATGGCATATACAAAATTGCATGTTGGCAACCTTGCAATGTTGTCTGGGTTAAACTTTGGCCACATAACATGGAGGCCGGTACTTGATGATGCCCGATGGCAATGTTTTCTTCATTTCGCAGCAAAGATTTGTCAATCAACGGAAGGTTTTAGGTGGTTTGGAAAGAAAAGGGATATGTGAAATTTTTTCTTATGGTAATAAGTCCGGACTCGGTTCTTGACTTTTTATACTTGAACCTAAACAATCTTACAAGTCCGGATCCAAGTCCAGTGAACCGGTATGCAGCACTACAAGCAAGCAATAGATAATCACTTACAAGTTCAAAAATGTACGATCGGAGTTGCAAAAACATTTATCTAGTTCACATTGAGTGACTTTCTAAACCTACCTATGTACAAATCCCATGGAGTGGATGGCGTGCAGAGCCAGCACCACCTCTGCACAGTAGAACTTGGCCCACTTCTCCGGCACGTCATAATTACTCATCAGGTTGACCAGGTCCCCTCCTGGCATGTACTCCATCACCATGTACAGGTACTTTGGGTCTTGGAAGGCATAGTGCAGCTGGGAGGAGGGGAGGGGGGCAAGTATGTAGTCACTTTTTTTTTAGGAAACTCTTCCTATCTATTAACACAAGCCTCAGCACTGTATGTCACATAATCCTGCTACTCCTTTTTCTTAAACTTAGTCGACACAGTTGAGGCAGTACTAGTAACAGAAAGCATACCTGCACTATCCATTCACTGTTGGCGTGTGCCATGATATCTCTCTCCTCCCAGAAGAAGGCTGACTCTGACCGCTTGATCATCTCAAACTTACTCAGCAACTTCATGGCGTAAACCTTCTGTGTCTTCTTGTGCCGGACCTGCAGGATAAAAGGTACTGCCTCTTAGTCTGTAATTGTTTCATCAGGTTGGTGTGTTACTGAGTAAAGAGACTCTTTTTTCACAACCAGGTGTTTTATTCCGCTAATTTTTCGGTGACCATCTGTCACCTTCCCCAGGGCAATTCTGACTGGTTCACATTGCACTGCAGCACAGGTGTCACTGCTATAGATGCATCTTACTGCCTCTTAGTAACTGGAAAACTCTTCCATAAAATTAAGAATTAAGATGTTAAAACTTACATTTCTGGAATGTTTCATTTTCAATTCGAACCTTTTGATTCAGTAACAAATATTGTGTTGGTCAAAAATGGAATTATGCAAATGATATTCGGGATGAACAACTTGAAATATAACCTCATGTTAAAACCTAACTTTACACATCAACATCTACAACAGTGAAACACAGGAGATTCAATCTTGGCAATTGGCCCAGGACTTATTTGAGGCACACAAGTACAGTTAGGCAGAGGTGAGCAGGGTGCATTATGGACCAATTGGCAGGTATTAGACTAATGTTATACCTGGCAGGGCTGCAAACCTATCACTGTCTACTAATAGCTGGCAAATGGGTCTGCTGTTTGACATTCAACACGGAAAATAAGCTCCCTTTTCTTGTACTTAGAAGCAGAAGTAATGATGGACAACATACATTTCCTGATGTGTTTAGTATAATCGTTAGTTTGTCTATCATAGACACAATCATTTGTTCTAATCGTGGCAGTCAATTTACACACTTCACTGCACCAAACAACCTGTATTTACCATATCTCAACAGTGACAACAACTTTGGAAAGGGGTACTTAATATGGCGAGCATCGATTCTAGCAGAGTCGCTGGAGAAAAGTTTTTTGTAAACAGTATAATCTTACTTCTCCAGCTAGTATATACAGCTACCACTACATGACAGGAATGTTGTCACATTTGGCATTGGAGTCAAACTGCACCATGGTGCCAAGCAATTGTCAGGCTGTCAGCTACTATAATGTTACATCTGGAACAGCCAAGGACATGAGTAGAGACACTAATATAAATACATGTCCAACAACAGACTGTCCCTGTGTAACACCCAGCATATGCTGGATATAAACCTACTGCCATCACACCTGCATGTCCTTAATTTTGCCTCAGGGCAGTATTTACATATTTGTGTAATATGCTTGTTGCTGTCAGCTTACAGTACAGTACAATAGCTGTATCTTTAAGGCTGTGACATGGATGCTTCAGTGATCTGAAGAGATTGACGTACAAGCCGAAGTGCATGGAGAGGTTTGAAAGCCGGCTGCTGATTGATGTGTGCAGCTGGTGTGAGACCAGCTGACCCGTCGGGCCTGGAACGCTTATGGTTATGTCTGCTACGTGAGGAGCGAAGTCGGGCCTGTCTCCCCACACCGAGTCCTCTCGTCAGGAAGATGCCAGGGCATTACATTCAGTTTAGACAAATGACGTGTTATGGGGCCGAACCACCAAAACAGAGCTTGTTTACACTGGGAATTCTCCTCCATTTGGCCACCCCTCCCTTCCCTACACAGAGTGGGGATGTTTAGCATACATGGCGGGGGTGTTTGCTGGGCGTGTGCGCCGTGACTGGGTCAGCAGGGCCAGCCGACCCCGACCACAGCAGTTTTCCTGGCGAGTTACGGCTCTGACCTTGATCTAGTGTGCCCTGAGCAGGGTTCTTACACACACTACCACTACTGTACTCTCGTAAAACTCTTCACGTTCTAACTGACAGCCTATCGCTGGATTCAACTGATTATCACAGCCTTCTAGTCAGTAGGCTACTTAACCTTAAGCATGCTAAGGTAGCCGTTTGGCGCCAATTTGTATTGGTTACTGGATTAAGCATCAGGGAGGTTAATACCAGTTTCTTATGTGCTGGCTGGTAAATGAATATCTTTAGCTTCCAGTAAATCATTAACTGTGTCATTTATGCTTAAGAGAAATGCTGGTAAGATAATAGATAGCCTTTCAAACTAGACGATTTGGTCTTTCTTGGCATCAGGGTAATAGTAAATTACTCAATAAACACATTTGCTGTATTTAAATTTTCTGACTGATTCTCAAAGTACATGTACACTTTTGTTTGTCAGTTTGTAGAGGTGTCCCAGACCTGGGTACATGTTACATCCAGCCTGAGTCAGCTTACATGTAGGCCATTTTGCCACTTCCAACTGGGCTGTGATATTTGGATACCAAACATAACTGAGCCCCAATGTCCCAGCAGGGCTGCGAGTGGGGCATTCCTGCCTGAATGACAGGGAACAATATTGGAGAGGACACGTGTATGCTCTCTGTTTTACTCAACTTGTCAAAACCTGTGACAGTATAGGTCTAATGAGTAGAATTCTCAACTCAAACCACGACTTCACTAGTACCGCCTGTGCAGCCTGCTGACATACATGTAAATGCTACATGACAGGTAATTGAGTAAGTGTCGTGCACAACACAGTGTTGGAAGAAAAGAAAATCACTTAATGTTTTGGAAAAAAAATGGAGCACAAGCTCTTACAAGAGGCTGCTGTTACTTGTCAAACTCTAGATTGAAAGTTGTTCCTAGTCCTTAGTGAGTTATAGACTGTTGGAGACTGGTATGACCTGCAATGGTTTATGACCTCATTCACAGCAACCAGATCTAGATCTGCACCCAGATCAGATTGTGTCATCATATCCAACAAACAAGTCTGGTATTAAAGACACATACCCCTCGCATTTTATTGGATATATGTATCTTTTGGGTGTATATTTCGTATGTGTTAAGACTGAGACTTACCAGTTGGACTTCTCCAAATGCTCCTCGCCCAATGACCTTGATCATGTCAAAGTCTTCAGCCTTGAGCCGGTTTTCTTCAATAAATTCAACCCATTTTTCATCTAGGGGGAAAAACCTCCAGAATATTAGTGGCATTCAATAATGAATATTTGTATAATGTGGAAAGCAGAAATTATGTGCAGACAAATGCTGTCAGTTTTAATAAGGTACACAAAATCATGGATGCTGATTATGATTAACACAAAACAATGTTGGGCTAAATGTCTGAATTTTTATATCAAGAGCTTTGACCAAGTTTTCTTGAAAATGGTATATTGAGATAATTAGCAAATGCGACAAGTTTTGGCAAATTACCAGTATAGCTCAAGTAAGAATCGATAAGAGGCTACTATTCGTATTACTTGATGTGTTTCCAACAAAACAAAACGTCATACTTACATCTGGTCAGGAAATTGTCGACGTTCTTGTTCTTCCGCAGAGCAGGAAAATTACAGTCAGTGACAAGAGCCGCGATTCCATCCTGTATGCAGAAGACAAAAATGACATGGCTGTCATCATATTGTAGGAACAATATTTAACACAGGAAGAACCTGCTAATCTATGTATCAATGGATCATAAATTACATATATTTACATATAAATTTACATGTTTATAAGGTTTACATACCAGAATCTTTTGGCCTCCTGATTATATAGCATCTATCTTATGGTTATAAGTTTATTACGTGATTAGATTATCTTCAAAACACTGTTCATACAACTTACTAATTCTGACTGTCAAAAGTTTGTGTGTACAGGTGTGTGTGTATGATGTATATTAGGGGTAAGGTTGGGTTTCCAAAGAGCAGGTACATTTTGTATTCTGCAAAAGGTTATCTGTTATCCATAATCAAATACTAGATACTGCAAGTACTACATACGACTCTCCTCTACCATAAGAAGACTGAGCCCGGCTTTCAACAGGCACTGGTGTTTAGATGCATACAATCCTCGATTTGTACTTTGGTATGAAAACCGATGTATGTTTCCTGGGACAACAGGTGGAACCAAGAGGCCTTTCATACTGGCATGCTAGCGGGTGACCTCAAAACACCGGGGTCACATTCAACAGCAGGGACCAAACTCTAGATGGCACAGGCACTGGAGGGAAGGACACAGGATTATTTCTGCCGGGCTAATTTTGGCTCTGAAGTATTCCAAAACAATACGTCTGGGAGTTGTGCAGCATAAAAAAGATTGCCAAACATGGTAGGGTCTTGAATAGTGGGTCTATCAGTAGGGACATCTGCAAGCATGGATAGGTATGAGACATGGGGGATGGTGGGGGATTTGCTAACTGAATTCTCTCCTCCTAATGTCTTCATTGCTCCTTTGCATTAAGATTACTAATAAGTCCTAGCCTGTACTTACAAATGGCCAGTAGGATAGGTGCACAGTATTGAGCATTATAAAGTCAGGAAGGAAAGAAAAATACAGCAAAGCACCGCATCAATGAACTGATGGGGTTAGCCTTGCCCTCAAATAGACAACATATTTTCAGGGAGGTCATATATGTAGACAAGCAAAATGACAGGACCCAACACTATGCCCTGGGGCACACATGAGATTATACTAATTTATAGGGGCACAGTCAGCACACAAGTCTGGTAGACCTGCCTGACAGGAAGTTCTGGACCCAGACAACTAAATTGTCCTTAACACTGTAGGAATGCTGCTTGTGTACATGTAGGAGCCTATAGCGGATCACTTTGTCAAAAGCTTTGGCAAAGTCCATGAGTATATATGTATTAAGTCTGTCTAGGTGCCAATGTTCCAGCTGGTATTACAAAGAGTGAGCAGTAGTTGTGTTGTGCGTGATCTACCACATGCCTACACCAGTGGTGTGGGTCATAAGAGATGCCAATTGCCAGGAAACAATAAGATTATCAATCATTGAATTTGCACTGAGGCATTTAATGATTTTACAATTAATCAAAAGTATGACTCGGATTCTTAAGTTCGATAAGACCAAGAGGTATTAAGAAGTAGTTCTTTGTAGCAGTCACTCTTCGTGTAATCTGGGGTATTGTTAGTTCTCTTTGATCGTTTATTGGAGCACAAGATGTGGATATTAACAGATGGAACAACAGCATCATTGTCTAAACTCGAAAAATGTCCAAACGTGAGAACGCGAAAGTTGAAATAGCTCCCACAATCCACCTTAACTATTTACCAACGGCTAACCACAGCTTACATACAAACACCTGGTTAGCCAGATAAATAAGGGTTGTCAGAAAAGTGGGTTAGGGACGTGAGATCTTACCTGAGGCCGTAGACTGACCTGGAGCTAATCCTGTCCGTACAGGTATTTGTCAATGTCCGGTCTGACAGACATGAGACCATGCATATAATTACAAACCTTCTCTTCTAGGTATGACAAATCTATGTGGTATTTGACAAATCTATAGCAGGTAACATGCAACTAGATATTTATTTTTACATATGCTTCAATAATGTGCCCAGCCATTAGCTTTTGACCTGTTCACTTACCCTAAAATAACCCATCAACGTACCACCTGGAAAGTTTCCAATAATCTTACTATCCTTCTGGTCAGCAAAACCTTTATTAGTTAAGAGTCCAGAACTACCATTCTTTCACAAGGTAGGAACAGAATGGATCATTCTATTCATTGACATATTGATATTATGTATACAAGGTATTTTGTACTGATCAGCTTTCCAAATAACAGATGATGATAAAAAGCAGAAAAATGCTGCATATCCAAATATTAATGCTGCAGTCTTCTCAGTTCAGTGATCACTGTATTACATTGTGATGTCCAAGTTTTGTCACATATTTGTCAAACAAAATAAGCAGCCTATTATGGTATGCATTAGCATTTTGTTCTTTGCATTGTGATCCTTTAAAAAAATTTTAAAATGTTTGTCAAACAAAATAAGCAGCCTATTATGGTATACATTAGCATTTTGTTCTTTGCATTGTGATTCTTAAAAGATTTCTAAAATGTTTGGCAAACAAAATCAGCATCCTTCTACAGTGTGCACCACACACTTTGTCCGTCATAATGAGTCACTTCCGTCAGGTACTAAAGGTAGATACAGCTACATGTAAGTAGATCAGCACTGTTTTTAACATTGCGCTAACACCCAAGAGTTGTGATGTTTTGAGTCTTGAACATTAGCAAAACTTGTAGTAACACAAGCAATGCTAGCATCAGTAGGGTTTTCTCCATAACTACCACGGTACTACAAATATCAACATAAGTCAGACATGAGTCAGAGGCGTGCAACTATGCCTAGCACTTCTGCCTCACTGACCCTGTAAAGCTGATTTATTGAATGAGAACTATTTTTACCTCAAGGTCATGGCACCTACAGTGTAGGTAGGTAGAATAATTCTAAAAACAGCTACATGTATTGCTGTCATACAAAATGTAGGTGGTAACAGTCAATACACAAACACAAATTAACGTACCCAGTACATGGACTATTGCAAGTTAAAGGAGTACTAACCTCCAGAAGGAAGTGCTATTTTCCGATACATCATGCTGCAATGAACACATAACTAGCTGACTTTTTACATAATTTAGCTTGTACGAGTTTCGCGGCGCATGTTTGTAAAGTGATATTAATATCATTTTCCCCCATGCTGAACCACAATTGATACATCCGGGAACTCTGGCTTACGCAATACTCATACACTTCAGGTCAACATAAACATTTTTTTGGCGAAAATGGTAGGAGACAAGCACACTAACGAGCTGATTATTGAGAAATTACTTGCTTTACTTTGCTTGACCTGTGGCTTCGATATTATAATATCATGATGTCGAATACAGTGGGCGCCAGTTTCATCCTGTGTGTTTTGATTTTCTCAACTTATTTGCATGTAAGTATAACTTGAACAGATAATTAGATTACGCCACTTATGAAAAAGATAACTAGATTACGCCGTTTTTTCATCATCAATATTTGCGGCATAAATGAGGGGCGATAAGGACACCAAGAAGGGCAATGGTTGGTAAGATACCAAAGAACACAAAACGGTACAATTTTTTCTTATCGCCCCCGAAATGAGGTCTGTAACGTAACTTTTTGTTTAAAACATAGACACCAATGGGGTAGCGTAGTGTATTCTGGGATAGTTTTGAGGGTATTTGGAGAGTTTGTCCTGGATTCGATGCGTTTTAAGACTTGCGCGCAAAATGGGCATTTAATTGTATATTGTAAAATAATATGAATTTTTCACTTCCAAAAATAAATGCCTGTCGAAATATAGCACCCCATTCTGGAGGTTAGTACTCCTTTAAAATATGCATGTAGACATCAGAAGTACCTGCACAGCTCCAATCTTACCTGCACTAACCTGCATGTGCAGGTGGTATTTTCAACTCTGATTTCCCTTCCCATGACACTAATTCACGACTTATGTTTGCAAAGCAATTTGTCTAGAAGGTAATGCTTTAACATGTACTAAGTTGAAGAATTGGAAATAACAAGCAATGGAAGAAACAAGAGATGTCTTGACAACTTAGTCATTTCTCACTGCCCTAGCCTTCTTCCATGCAGATATTATCTAGAAGGTAATACTTTAACATATACTTTGTTGAAGAATTGGAAATAACAAGCAATGGAAGAAACAAAAGACGTCTTGACAACTTTGTCATTTCTCACTGTCCTAGCCTTCTTCCCTGCAAATATTATCTAGATGGTAATGCTTTAACATATACTAAGTTGAAGAATTGGAAATAACAAGCAAGGGAAGAAACTTGACATGCTTTGGCAACTTTGTCATTTCTCACTGCCCTAGCTTCTTCCCTGCAGTAATTGTGCCTTATGTTATACATATCAATGTGCCCCAGGGCTGGTGAGAGTACTGTGGTCCACAGGAATGTTGTAGGCTTCCCAGACTGGGGTGAATAGGGCCTTACCTGCTGCATACATGTACACCTGTGAGAGCCACAGGACCCTTTACAGCTTGTTTGACTAGACAGGAGCAAACACAGGTTGACAGGTTTGTACACAGAGAAGGGGTACATAATACTGGAACACCTTCACACAAATCAGGACTGGCATTCTTCTTTTCTTACATCTTACAAGACGTCTCAACTCATTCGGATACAGAACGGTCATTCCATGTCTGCATACGTCTCTTGTGTTAAGTTTGATGTAAACCTATGCCACTTATCAATAGTCTTTTCCAAACTAGTAGCTAGCAATGATTTTACTTACTTTCCACTAGTACTATGGCCAGGAAGCTGTTCAATATCCCATGGCCCAGGAAATCAAAGCTGAAGTAATGAATACAATTACAAGTAGATACATGATAAAGTAGCAGTTAGCATTGTGTTTTCCAGTATGTGTGATGTCACTTGACAAAAGTATATGTACTACAAGGTACACTTGGTACAACAATGTATGACACAAAGGTTTCAAATCAATTTCTCGTATAGTATAATATACACCTTTTGGCAACAGTACATGGTATAATTTCACCCCATAAAAAGACTTCTAAACATA